TTTGGGAGGCTTTAATGCAGTTAATGGGGTGTTAATGGGCCTTAAACATGTCATTTTGACCAATTTATGACTTTGTTTGACCAAGTCAAGGTTTGACTCAGTCAACCAAGTCAATTAGGTTAAGGAGCATGAGGGATCAAGCCATGAAAGGATTTGGAATGATTAGAATTGGAATTAGGACTCAAAAGGACCAAATCGGTCAACCAGGTTGACCCATGGCCCGGGTCTAAGCTCAACAGACTCAAATCGACTCACTGAACCCGTGGGAGGGGGTCTTGGGGTCTGATTTGGTCAATTTAACCAAGTCAACCATTTGACTACGATTCTGGGCAAAATTAAGGTCAACAAACGGACCCCCAACAGGAGTGGCGAACAACTAGTGAACCGCTCATATTGACGTTGACCGACTAAGCCATAGAAAGGTAGAGTGAAAATCATGAGTGAAGGAATATCAAGGAGATGGTGAAAAAAGAAATAGATTCTTCTCCTGGCCTTGCCCCATAGCGGGGGAAGAGCCTAGGAAAGAAGAAAAAGCAGCAGTGCACAAGCAAGGTGTCACCAAAATGGTGAACTGGTAGTAGGGTCTTCTCCTGGCCTTACTCTTTGACACGGGTAGAGCCAAGGATAGAACCAACGGTAAAGGTCACCTAAAAAGGTGAAAACAAAGTAAGGGGATTCTCCTATAGCCTTACCCTACAGCGAGTGTAGAGCGGAAAGGAGAATCAACCATAAAGGTCACCACTATGGTAAAAAAGGTAAAGAGATTCTTCTCTGGCCTTACCCTGTAGCAGGGGTAGAGCAAAGAGAAGAACCGAAAGTAAAGTAGCAAAAACATACCAACTATCTGTCTAACTATATCAAATCAATAGAATAGGAGGTGAAAGGGTCCCATAACCTCCTGCCCATCTCATAGCAGTGGATTGGGCTGACTTAGTATCTGCCTGACCAAATCGGGTCAACAAACAAAGGAATCACGAAGCCTAGTGTCTGCCTAATTGGAACAAGACACTCAGGGAAAAGGGTATCGAGGAGTTCCTGTCAGGTGCTCTATCAGGCCCTCTCTACCAAGTAAGTAAAACCAACTTCCTGTCTGTCTATTTCAAACAGCAGGATAGAAGGTGAAAAGATCCCATCTCCTCCTGCCTATTTTAGGACAGTGAATCGGGGTGACTCAGTATCTGTCTGATCAACTCAAGACAGCAAATAAAAGAGTCACAAAATCTAGTGCCTGTTTGATCAGAATAGGACACTCAAGGAAAGAGGTGAGGAGTTCCTGCCAGGTGCTCTATCAGGCCCTCTGTACTAAGTAAAACTAGCTACCCACCTGACCGTATCTGGACAGCAGGGTGGAAAGTGAAAAGGATCTCTCCCCTTCTGATCCTTTCGGAACAGTGGATTGGGGTGACCGATACCTCTTCCTGACCTCAGCAAAAGTAAAGAAGACACGAAGTGGAAGCCTGCGTAGTCTTTTACAGGACATCCGAGTAAAGGGGTGTTGAGAAATTGCGGCTCCCAGGAACTCTGTCGGGCTCACTCAATGGTAGGGAAACCAACTACCAGGCTGACCGCACCTAGACAGCGGGTAGAGGGTGAAAAAAGGATCCCGCCCCTCCTGCTCCTTTCGGAACAGTGGATTGGGGTGGCCACTACTTCTGCCTGACCTCAGCGAGAAGCTCATGAACCACGAAGTGGAAGCCTGCGTAGTCTTTTACAGGACAACCGAGTAAAGGGGTGTTGAGGAATTACACCTCCCAGGGACTCTGCCTGGCTCACTCAACGGTAAGTAAAAGCCAACTACCAAGCTGACCGCATCTGGACAGCGGGTAGAGGGTGAAAAGGATCCCGCCCCTCCTGCTCCTTTCGGAACAGTGGATTGGGGTGGCCACTACTTCTGCCTGACCTCAGCGAGAAGCTCATGAACCATGAAGTGGAAGCTTGCGTAGTCTTTTACAGGACATCCGAGGTAAAAAGAGAAGTGTTGAGGAATTACGCCTCCCAGGGACTCTGTCGGGCTCACTCAACTGGTAAGCTTCAACATCTGCTCAACCAGCTCGGCTTTGCAAATGAAGAAGGGCTCAATACCCACTCAGTCATTTCAACTGAGTGAATAAAGAGTCAAGCTCTGATGCCTGTCTGATCAAAACAGGACAATCAAAAGCATGGAGAGGAGCACCTGCTAGGTGCTCTGTCAGGTCCTCTCTACCAAGTAAAACCAACTATCTGTCTGTTTATTTCAAACAGCAGGATCGAAGGTAAAAGATCATCTCAACACCAACCTGACACGTATCTGTGTACAGGTGTGAGGGAGAAAGGAGTAAGTAAATGAGATAATTTTAAGGGAAGAGCCACCTAGGGAACCCCTTCTAGCGCTCTGGTAACCACATGGTAGAGGACAAATAGTCGTGGCCATGAGTATCCAGATACCGTCAGGATCTCCTAGGGAACCCTAACCCTACACAAAAAGGCAAGGAGGGACATCAGTGTGATGTCTCCCAACCAAAGCTAGAAGAGATATACCCTCAGTAGAGTATACAAAGGGATAATCTCATTCCAAAGGAGTAAAAAGAACTAAAGTAGTGAGGGGGGTACCTCTGCTACAAAAAAGTAGGACTAAGCCTAGTAAAAACACTCCTCAAAGGAGCTACAGTGGTAAACTCATACTAACTTATGGGGACCCTGTAAGAAGTAGAAGTGGTATCAAAGCATCCAAGGGACCTCTCCGGCAGCTAGGAGAGGGGTCTCGATGGGAAAACAAGTGGTAAAAGTATCTGAAAGAGCTGACTCTCTACTAGAGAATCAAAAGCTCAAGGAAAAGGTGATGGTGGCATCTAAGGCATGACGCCTCCTATCATTAAGTAAGGAAAAAAGAGCCAAAGTAGTGAGGGAGTACCCTCTCTACTGAGGGCAACAACTCAGAGCAAGTAAAACCTCACAGTGGTAACACCCACACAAACTAGTGGGACTCTGTGGGAAGTGAAAGCGACCTCAACTCATTTATAAGACTAATCTGGCGACTGAGCCTAGTGTATGAATGATAGGATAGGTCACGAAAAGGAGTAGGAGAACTGATCTTCTGCTATAAGATCAAAGTTCTCAAAGTGGTGATGTTAGTATCCGGGGCAAGGTATACCACATCACTACTAGTAAAGTAGCTCTAGGTAGTAAAGGGGACACCCTCACTACCTGAGGACAGTAATCATGTATAAGAGTGAAGAATCATGGAAAGGGTACAGTGGTAACACCTATCCTAATCAGGTAGGACCCTGTGGGGAGCAGGAGTAATCAACACAACATTCATAGGGCTACTCTAGCGGCTAAGAGAGAGTACGAATGTAGAAAGTAGGTGAGTAAAGAAGCTAAGGAGTAGATCTTCCAATGGAATATCGAAGCTTCTGAAACCTTGGTGCTAATACCTTAGAATAGGTATACTACACCACAGCTAAGAAAACAACTCTGAGGTGCCAGGGGAGCACACCTGACACTTAGTACGATAATCATGAGTGAGATCTATGATTATCAGTAGGTCGTAGTGGTAACACCTACCCTAATCAGGTAGGACCCTGTGCGAAGTGAAAGTAATACTACAACATTCATCGGACCACTCTGGTAGCTCAGAGTGGTATATGAATGGGAGAGTAGGCTGTCAAAGGAGGGCAGCGAGGGGCAATCTTTCCTCAGAAAGATCTGAGCCCCGAATGCAGTGGCGTTGACATCTACAACACAATGTACTACATCCCTAGCAAAGAAAATCACTTTGGAATCATAGAGATCTATGACCAACTAAATGTTAACTCAACCTTGAAGAGCTCATCAAAGCGGTTTCAAGAGAGGAGAAAGAGAAATTTTTGGGGAATTTGAGCTCTTACGGAGTTTTACCGGGTTCCTCCTATGACAAGGGCAACCGGTTTTGCTCTACTAAGAGCTTCCCTCCTTTTATCACATGTATATACTTTTTTTTTTAAGAATTTTGATTGATTTTGGTAACCCAGTTCACATTCGCCACATGAACCAAACTGGGAAAAAGGTCTAACAGGATCTTGTGAAGGAGTGAACATTTGGTTTTGATAACCCAGACCACATTCATCTCATGTGAATGAACTGGGGAGCACAATTATAGTAAAATTAATGTACAATTGAAATCAACATCAGGATAGAGGATCAACACTATCATATCTGACTAGCATGTGATGGTATGGACCCTGTATCCTATCTCAAAAAGAGTCTAAACTAATAACTCTAACATCCTTGATCACATCCAACTCATATGAATGGACTAAGGGCTACGTCTCTCAGATTAGGACTGATAGGAAGAAGAAACTCAAATAGGAATAGCGGCTCTTCATCACCATACCTGACTGACATGGGATGGTGTGGACCCAGTATCACCTCTCAACAAGGTCTAGACTAAAGACTACAACCTCCCCTATCACATTCAACTCACATGAGCGGACTGGGGGCTACATCTATCAGATCAGGACTGATAGGAAGAAGAAACTCAACTAGAGATAGTGGATCTCTATCACCATACCTGACTGTCATGGGGTGGTGTGGACCCAGTATCACCTCTCAAAAATTAGACTTGAACTGTTGGTTTTGATATCCCAGACCATACCTGGGGCGGTAGGTGAAACTAGGGGACTAAGCCCTACAAAGGGGAGAACAAACTAAAAATTTCTATGTGATAGCACCAACGTGATTGGTGCGCACAGACAAAAGTACAAAATATCCCTACGGTGTATGGGTGTATCACCTCTAAGAATAGCTTCATACTCTTCTAAGCAACGTCGCGTGGTAGAGGACAAATTATCGTGGCCACGTAGACTGCTGAAAAGTAAGAGGAATCCTTTTAGGAGCTACTTATACAGAGGGATATCTACAGGCGGTAGGGAGGCTCCCCTATGAAGTACTAGACTCATGCATAGTACTTTTTCAAGTACTGCCCGTTGATGACAGGCATTAGGTGAACGCCATTTGCATCAACAAGTAGGTAGGCACCATCTTCATAAACTTGCTCTATAGAGAATGGGGCCTTCCCAAACAGGCTCAAACTTACCACCTCGCCGATGATGCGAGATGATAGGCCTGCGCAAAATAAGAACTAACTCGCCTACCCGGAAAGCACGGGGTCTAACAAGATGCTCAAAGTGCCGTTTCATTCGGGCCTGGCATAGCTTAAGGCATTGATAAGCTCGTAAGCGAAGCTCATTTAAACCATCAAGCTCTTCCAACCTCAGTTGGGCATTTTCTTCCTCAGATAGGTTGTAACTAACTGCTACACGCAATGAGGGGAGCTCGACCTCAAGTGGGAGGACTGCTTCAGCCCCAAAAGCTAAAGCATATGGGGTGGACTGAGTAGGAGTACGGTAGGTAGTCCTATATGCCTATAATGCTTTAGGTAACTTATCACGCCATTCTCTCTTATTTGCAATAAGAATTTTCTTTATCAGTTGCACAAGAGTCTTATTAAATGCCTCTGCCAAGCCATTGGCTTTAGGGTAGTAAATTGACGAGTATCGCCAATTAATGTTTTGGCAGCGGGCAAATCTGGCAATTTTGGTGCTTCTAAAGGACGGGCCGTTATCTGAGATTATACGGCACGGAACACCAAAGCGATAAACAATGTTATCGCGAAAGAAGCACATCACATCTTCTGATTTAACTTCCTTAAGTAGGACATCCTCTGCCCACTTAGAGAAGTAATCAGTGGCGGCTAAAATAAACTTATGACCCTTAGAGGAAGGAGGGTCTATAGGACCCACCACATCCGTTCCCCAGCCCTCAAATGGCCAAGAAGAAACAGTAGGGTGCAACAAATTAGGGGGTTGGTGAATCACCGTATCATGAATCTGGTACTGGTGGCATCTCTTAGTGTGCTCCATGCAATCGTTGATCATAGTCGGCCAGTAGTAGCCAAGGCGTTTAATTCTTCCTTTCATTTTAGGTCCAGAATGATGGGCACCACAAAGCCCTTCATGTATCTCGCTCATGACTCGACTAGTCTCTTCTTTACTGAGGCATCTCAACCACATTTGGTCAAAAGAGCGTCGGTACAGAGTTTCATTTATATAGGCGAATGATAAGGCTCTCTTTCTAATTTGAGCAGCGAGAGACTTATCATCTAGAAGCCTACCTTGTTTTAAGTACTCTATGAAGGGATTTCTCCAATCTGACTCCTCATCTACAGCAAACACTACAAGGGTCTGATTGGGAGAAGACAAGTCTGCGGGGCACAAAGCTTGACGATACTGGACAATAATAGACACTGGATTTCCAGTAGGGTCAGTTAATTCTTTTGCTAACTTGGACAATACATCTGCTTTTCCATTTTTAGATCTAGGGACCTTGGCCAAAGTTACTTCTGGTATTAAGCTCAGGAGCTTCATTGATTTATTATGGTATGGAATGAGCTCAGGCTTAAGTACTTTGTAGACTTCAGCTACTTGATTGATTATCAATTCGGAATCTCCAAAGATTTTCACCCGCGTAAGACTCATCTAAATGGCCAACTCTAGCCCCAAAATTAGAGCTTCGTACTCAGCTTCATTATTAGTATGAGGTTCTGATAAACTATAGGAGTAGCGTAGAGTATGACCCTCAGGAGAAACAAAAATCAGGCCTAATCCTACCCTAACTGTAGGAGTTTCATTTGGATTTAAAGCTTTAACGGATGACGCACCGTCAAAGTAAAACTCCCAAGTAGGGGACTCCTGTTCATCCACACTCATGATGAAATCATCATGTACCTCATCGTTGAGTGGGGAATCTGCAGGGATCGGGTGATCGGCCAGAAAGTCAGCTAGAGCCTGTTTTTTGACGGCCCGCTAGGGAACAAAAGTAATATCAAATAGCAGTAGTATCATCGACCACCGTAGAAGACCTGAGAGTGTCGAACGGGTCATCAAGTACTACAACGGGTTGACTCGATAGATCAGATTGATCTTATGTGATAGCATATAATGCCTAAGCTTATGTACCACGAAGATCAATGCTAAACATTGCTTTTCTATTACTTGGTACTTAAGCTCTGCAGGTATCAGTCGCCTGCTGAGGTAGTACAAGGCATTTTCCTTGCCTTCCTCATTCTCTTGAGCCAACAGTGCACCTAGAGACTCATCCAGGGCCGTAGTGTAGAGAATCAATGGCCTACCTGGGATAGGTGCAGCTAAAACAGGGGGGTTCATCAGGTAGCGCTTTATACTCTCAAAGGCATCCTGAAAACTCTCATCCTAGTGGAATCGGACATCCTTCTTCACTAGTGCTGAGAAAGGAAGACACCTACCAGAAAGATTGGAGATAAATCTCCGCAAGAAAGCGAGTTTACCCTGAAAGGACCTCAACTGGGTAAGACTCCTAGGGGGTTTTAAATCTACTATGGCTTTGATCATAGAGGGGTCTATCTCAATGCCACGGTAGTGAACTATAAACCCCAGGAACTTTCCCGCACTGACTCCAAATGCGCATTTTAAAGGGTTCATCTTTAAATCAAACTTGCGCAGGCGTTCAAAAATGATTCGCAGATCTCTGAGGTGATCTTCGCGGACCTTGCTTTTAACAACTAAATCATCCACATAGCACTCAACTTGCTCATGTATCATCTCATCGAAGATGACAGTCATGGCACGTTGATAGGTGGCTCCGGCGTTCTTGAGACCGAAGGGCATCACTTTGTAATAAAAGCACCTATAGGTGTCCGGAAAGCAGTAAACTTCTCATCCTCGGGGTCCATCTTTATCTGATTGTAACTAGATGAACCATCCATGAATGAGAAGATGCTATGGGATGATGCTATATCCACCATAAGCTCAGGAATGGGGAGAGGAAAATCATCCTTAGGACATGCCTTGTTCAAATCGCGGAAGTCGATACAGACTCGTATCTGTCCGCTCTTCTTCTGGACTGGGACAATGTTGGCAAGCCAAGTGGGGTATTTTTCTTCCCTAATGAAACCAGCTTCTATAAGCTTCTTGGTTTCAGCGATCACCTGTTGTTCAATTTCCAACCTCATCCTACGAGGTGCTTGTTTAACATGGACTGCATCAGGCTTAATGGCTAACTTGTGGACTGCCACCTCTGGATTTAGATCAGGCATCTAGGTGTAGTTCCAGGCAAAACAGTCTCTAAACTCTGATAGTAACTTGATGTATTCTTGAGCCTCTGAATCAGACAATAGGACACTATGAAAAATAGGCCTAGGATCTGACTCAATGCATAAGTTTAACTCACACAGTTTATCCATGGCTGAAGTGGCGCCATCTTCAAACTCTTGTGGAGCATCAAGTATTCTATCATCGCCACTATCCGGGTCTTCTTCATCGACAAGAGAAACAACCGGATAGGCGTGAGAAATGACACGAATGTTGGCATCACTGGACTGATTTAACCCCATGTAACCTACGCCTCTTAGACCTTGGGAGAAATCAGTCTGCCAGACTCGGGCCTGCTGTAGAGCTTGTTCGTCGGGCCAAGTGGAATGAACGAGACCCCGCTCAATAAAGCACTCTATAGTAGGTGAAAAGTAACGAGGGGCACTCCTGACCTCTATATCCATAGCGCTATCCTCTAGATCATGTCTCACAGGACCCAGTGGTGCACCTATACTACAGGGTACAGAGGGACATTCCCTAGGTCGGGCTGGCCCAAATGTATCATACAAGTGAGGTATGGGATTGTGACTACCCCATACTGGGCTATCATCATCAACTATAGGAGTGTCAGAAGATCTTTAACTGAAATCCCCAACTCCTATCCCGTGTATCTGATGGGGGGAAGGTTATCTGGTAGTAGTCTGACGTCGGAAGTCCTCTTCCTTGTCTGAACTAATATCAATAACCAATCCACC